TTTAACCGAGAAAGTAAAATGGTCAATGTTTGGTTAAGGGTATTAAAGTTTTTTGTAAAGCAGAAAGTGCCTTAATATTCATAAGTTTGTCTCCGTGTAAATTATTCACCCAAAAGTGTGTTGGAGTGTAATTGTTCCTGTAAAATTTACGAAAAATTCTAAAGTATTGTAGGTCAAATTGTATGTCATGGTCTCATGTTTTACAAATTGTATAATGGTCGTCGTGGATCAATGTATTTTGAAATGAACTGTGTTTTGTCATGGATTCGTTGTTCATATAATTGTTCATGTTACATATAGTTGAATTCGATCGATTTAATCATCGTTTGTGATATGATTAGGTCATATGTCAATTATGATGATGTAACAAACGAAAACAAAATGAGATCCTATTTTCGTATTTTCTAATATTAAATAAATTATAAAAGACACAATTCTGCTATAACTTTGCTTGATTTAATGGGTCCAGTGCAATCAGTTGTTATTAGTGGAGAAATACCATTGCTGCACTAATATGAACAAACTAAATTTACAACTTATAAACACACTATAATATGGTTGGAGTACTTAAAAGATTCACCTGTATTAACCTATAAATAAGCGTTACGTTTGATCAAATCAAATATTTTTTTATAATTACTTGTTAATAATGGCCGGTGCAAAGTTAATTAAGGATAGTAAGAGTGCAAAAACAAAATAATTAATCGAAAAAGAAAAAGTGAAAAAAAAACCAATGATGGACGAGTTGTGGTAGATGATAAAGCACAAGATGATGATGATGATTAAGACAAATAATGATTAGGGCTATAAATAGTCCAAGTGGGATTTACGGGCCCGACCAGGATGGTCTATATCCTCGAAATAACACACGCCTAGGTTTATATGAACGACTAATTAGGCATCTAAATATGAAAAGGATTATAGATCATAGGCATCTAAAGATGACAAAGATTACATACAATAAAAAGATTTGGAAGAGTTTTTTTTTTTTTTCCTTTTGTCATCTAGTAGATTTAATTTCGAAGAGTTTATTAGTTACATGAATCTGTTAAACAGGTTGAAAAAAAAAACTCTGCTAAATAGCCAATACAGTGAAATGTCTTTGCATTAATGTATACTTGTGCTGGTTTACTAAACAACGTGTCATTAATTAAGAATAGCACTCACATACGAATGTAATGTACTATCAGATTAAACAACATAATAAGTATTAAAATAAATTTCATGTTATTAATTAGGTAAAAAGATATGTTATTTGTTTAAAAGTGTGTGTGAGTCCTTAACCATTTGAAGGTTTACCTAACTAAAATGCTATGGTTAATGCTAGGAGTAATT